CGTGGCACACTGGATATTTGTGCAAAAGATGAATGAATGGATGGATGAATGAGTGAATGAATGAAGGAAAGAAAACACATACAATTTAGTGACTTAGCCTGAACCAGAACCTCGGCCTCCCTCCAGGGCACAGATTCAAACCCCTAGAGCAGCCCCCTCGGTTACTGCCTCCCCAAGGTCTCTCCGGTGCTGACTTTCTTCTGGGACACGGCTGTGATGGGGAATCTTAGGATGGGTGGGGGCGGGGGGAGGTCAGTGCTGGGCCTCGAACCTCAGTAAATTCGGGATTTTTAACAGCACCTGCAAAAATGGGGCAGGGATTCTGTGTATGAAGGTAGCCTTGGGCCTGGAGGCTGCCTGGTCCAGCAACCATGGCTTGGGGGGCACTCTAGACGCCCCTTCCTCCCCACTCCGGGTTCTAGGGACTGGGCGGCACCCTTCCCAGGCCTCTTCATTCTCCCTTCTGGATGTGATTCGGCTCCCTGGTGAGCTCAGTTATGCCTGGCCGGGCCCGGAGCCCGCCAGCCTGGAGACTCGGTGACCCAGAAACCCAGTCACCTCGGTCCTCACCACACCCCAGCCTGCTGCCCCCTCCAGGGCCCTCAGCCACACCCGCGCTGCCGTACGCCACACTCCCATATCTGCTGTTCCCTGTGCCTTTCACAGTTTTATAGACACCGCAGAAGTGAGAACGAGGGACAGTGACTCTGCCTGCTGCAGCCGACGCACACTCAGCGAACAGTCATCCTGAAGCAGTGACAGCCTGTCCCCGGTGGGACGCCGATGCCACAGCACGCCCTCAGCCGCGGGTAAGCCCACCGCCCCACCTTCCCGACGGTTGGACAGTTCCAGCCTGACGTCAAGAAACTGACCAAAACTTAGAGAAAACAGTCGTAAAAACACATCGACATTCCAAGTCTGTCCCTTTTGAGGCAGGGCGCTCGCTCCAACACCAGTGCCGAAGGGAACAGTGGTGACGGGAATGGATATTACTGTGTGACAGGCACTGTGTCCCCATGACCGCCACGCACATCCTCCCTATGTCACTCAGCTCGCGCCCTGGTCTCGGTCGGCCCCTTGTGCCCTCGAGCTCACTGGGGTTAAAGGAAGTTGAGCTGCCCAAGTTCACACGGGAGGAGAGTGATGGGTTGCTCAGGACGTGGGGCCCTGCTGCTCCCAGACAAAGATCCTTGCCCTCCCGCGCTTATAGTCTGGTGGGTAGACAGACAATGAACTACGACTATAAGCGAAAGTATAGCCTAGCGCCTCGCATGGCAGGAGGGAAATGGAAGGACGGGACGAAGGGGAAGTGAAGTGCCGGTGGGTGGGCAGGTGGGTGGGCAGGTGGGTGGGCATGAGTCTCGTTTATTAGGAAGGTGAGTTTCCAGCAAAGACGTGAAGGAGGAGAGGGTGAGCCACGTGGGAAGCGCCATCCAGGCAGAGGGGACGGCCGGGCAGAGTGTCCTCAGGAGGCAGTGTGCCTGGTGTGCTCAAGTCACAGCGTGGAGGCTGGGGCGGCTGAGGCGGAGGGAGTGACTGACTGACGGGGACAGTATAAAAGCTGAGGTCAAGGGGTGGGGAGCAGGTAATGAAGGGGCCCTCAGGGCATCGGGAGGGCTTCGGCTCTTACTCAGAGGCAAGTGGGGAGCCCTCGCAGGGGGTGAGTAGAGGAAGGACATGGTCGGATGCCGGACACGGTGCTCACCAGCTGCTGCGTGGAGATGAGACTGCAAAGGCCAAGGGTGCAGGCAGAGAGCACGGAGCGACCGTTGCAGTCACCCGGGCATGAGCCGATGCTGGCTCCGGCCAAGACGGCCCCCGCGAAGGGGCTCAGAAGTGTTCAACTTCTAGATGTTTCCTTTCTCGTTTTATTATTTATATAATGTGTACATTTTACGGAAGTATTTTATAAATACAGAATCTAGATGTATTTTGAAGACAGTGCCAACAGATTGAATGTGGGATGTGAGATATGAGAAAAAAGATTCGATGTGCAGGTTTTCGGACCAGGGGTGGGGCAAAGATGGAGGAGGGCCCCTCAGCAGAGATGGGGAGAGGTAGGAGGCAGAGGTGCTCGCGCGCGCGTGTGTTGAATTACCTGCCACCCCTCTACCGGGAGGCTCTGCACACCCGCCTTGGCCCTCCCAAGTCCTCCTCACCTTTCAGCTCTCAGACAGATGTCAGACTCCCAGCATCCCTCTGGGAAGCCTCGCCTGACCCTCCCAGATGGTGGTCACTGCTCCCTGCGCCGACCCCAATTCCAGCGTTTCCCGGTCTGCTTCGTGATCGCCTGTTGACTTGCGTGGCACCTGGACTGAGAGCGACCTGGAGTCTGCTGCATCTTTATTGCGCTGCCCTCAGCCCAGGGCCTGGCTTGGCGTACACAGCCCCTCAGTTCATACTGCCGAGGGGGTGCTGATGGCCCTTCTGGAGAGCGGGCCTTGCCGGTGAAAGTCAACGGCATCCCCCGGCGGTCCCGCCTTGCTCCGCTCAGGATCAGGGCAGTGTCGCTGAGAGGGACTTCGGTACCATCACGGGCCCATTTCCTCTGTGGTACAGCTCAGGAGCCGAGGCCCAGGGAGTGGAAGACAGCTGAGCTCTCTCCCCAGAACCCTTGTCCTCCACACTGCGCTCAGCCCTGGCCCTTCTTCCTCTTCTGGGGCGGATGGCCAGACACCTCCAGAGTCCTGAGCTGGACTCTGCTGCGGTCTGGAATCCCCAAGGAGTGGAGGTGCCTGGCTTGGGCCTGGCCCCATGGTTCTGTGCCTGCCTGTCTGCAAACACTTCCCTCATAGACATTTAAGACCCTCGCTGATACCCACAAACCTCAAGCTTCCTTTCTGCAGTTGAAAATGCTACACCATGTGCGGGCCAGGCAAGTACGAAGAGACCGATTTACTGCCAAGCCAAGCCAGGCAGAGGCCGAGAGGCCTGGTCCCAGACGCTCTGCTGACCACCCGCCTCTGGCTCCCCTTTCCGTCCCACACCAGTGGTGGCATCATTTAATCCAGGTTTTAAGTGTCTGAACTTGATCTACCAAAAGCTGCTCTTAACATTCACTCCGGGATATTTAGATCCCATTTGTTTGCTCATTTTCTTTAAATGTCTGAATCCCTACTCCCAGCACTGTGCCTGATGCAGACTGGGGACTCAATAAATGTGTGTTGGGTGACTGAGTGGTCACGTCCCTCTGTGTTGTTCTCCATCTTTATGTGAGCATGGCCTTCCTCCTCCCAATCTGTGAGGTAAGGGGCAGGGGCCACATCCACAATGTTTCTTTGGCCTTCAAGTGCAGCACAGTGCTGGGAACCCAGGGGTCTTAATGAACGAAAATCAATTATTCATAGTGAGTTACGCTGCATAAGAAACCACACCAAAACCGAGTGACTTAAAAAAGCAGCCTTCATGAAGCTCACAGTTCTACAGGTTGGCAGTTCAGCCCGGGCAGTTGCTTTGGTCCTGGCTAGGTTCTCCCGTGCGTCTGTGGTCAGCTATGGGTTGGCTTTGTTGATCTTTGCCGAGCACTCTCACATGACCGAGGTCTCAGCAGTGACAGCTGGGCTGACCGACGCTGATCCAGGTGGGTTCCCATCCTCCAGCAGGCTGGCCCAGGCTTTTTCTCATGTCAGAGGCAGGCATCCTGAGAGAGAGTAGAATGCACTAGACCTCCTGAGGCCTAGGCTGGGGAACCGGTAGACTGTCCCGTCTACAACATCCTATTGACCAACGCGAGTCACAAGGCCGGTTCGGGGTTCACATGCAGTGGGTGGGGACAATAGACTCTACCTCTGGATGGGAAGAGCTGAGTGTCACATTGTGAGAGGTGTGGATACAGAGAGGTAAGAACAATTGTGGCTGGTTTTGCAATCTTCCATGCCAGTCGGACCGTAAAAGATCTAAAGATCGAGTCCACCCAGACTAGGCCACTTTAGTGTTTATTAGAATTTATGTCCGATGTAACCAGGAACTTCTAAACTGGAATGGAAATTTTGGATGCGTCTGATTTCCTTTCCCGTGTCCTTTCTCCATGTCCTTGATATCCAGTGGTGGGTGCCGACATTCTCATTCTCTGTGTCCTGAGAGGTGAAAATGGCATCAATTTTCTCCCACCTGAGGGTTTTCAAAAGGCAGAAATCGAGCCAATGAAAAACATCAAATGCATCTCTCGGGGCCTTGGCATGTGTGCCAAGATCCTGTTCTCCAGGATGTCTGCTTTGCTCCCAGCCAGATCTGGATTGTGGGCCCGGTTCCCAAGCACACCCTGTACCCTGCTTTTGGGCGAGTGTCGAGGGAGAGTCTCGGGTAGACCCTAGGGCCCCTTCCCTCCTGGATACTTGCTAGGATGGGGGTTAAGGACGTCACTCTGTGCTGTCATCTTGTTTTATTGCTTCCCAGCACTTACTACAACGAGAATGTATCATTTATTTATGTGTATCCTTATGGTCCGTCTCTCTTCATAGGATGCCAGGATTTCGTCTTTTCCGGACTGACCTCCAGCCCTCTGATGCCGAATGACAAAGGAGTACCCCAGGCCACATGCTGGAGGGTGAGCTGCGAGGATCGGAGCCTGCCAGGCTGAGGGGAGAAGGCTTTCCGGAAGCGATGCTAGAGTTTACCAACTCGGACCGTGGGCTCCTAGCACTGGAGTTTACGTTTGCCACACCGGGGCCGGGTGGAGAAGAACTGCTTGAAGTTTTTCTCGTAGGTGGGCAGGCTCTCTTTGAAACAGTATGCAGATTGCTTGTCACATTCGCAGGCCCTCAGCCCACAGAGGCACCCAACGCCGAGACCAATGGTACATTCACCTGCAGAGAGACCGAGGGTCACTGGGGGCTCCCAGCTCTCCCCCAGGGCTTGGTTCTAGGGTTGGGGAGAACAAGGAGCTTGCTACAAGGGGTCAGGGGTTAAAAACAGAAAGGAAAGAACCTGGGAGTCCTTTTCCTTAGTCCCCAAGCCCTGATCACCCCTGGACATGCCACAAGTACTGGAGTGAAGAGAGGCTGAAAGGGAACCTGCACATGGAGGGGTTGAGTCAGGGCACCTGGGCGGCACACAGGCCCTGCGTGTCCTCAGGACCCGTCTCGTATTTCCACTATCTTGACATTTCACTTGTACGTCTCAGGCATCAACAGCTTAAGGCGCCCAAAATGGAATGCTTGAGGCAAGTGCTCCCTCCACCCACCGAGTTTGTCCTTCATCCACACTCTTGGCTCTGCAAATGGCACCACCTCCTACTCGAGCCAGAAAACTAGCGGCCCGTCTCGATTCCTCTCCTCCTCTGACTTTTCATGTCCAAACCCCCGCCCCCCCACCACCACCGCAAGTTCCACTGATTTCTCTACGTTTAAAATATTTCATGCTCTGTCCTCTTCTCTCCAGCTTCGCGGCCACCACCCCATTCCCTTGTCATCACCAGCTCTTCCTCCTTAATGGAAGGAACTCAACGGAGACGTTCCTCAAATGTTAGCTGGAATTAGGTTTGCTCTCCTGCTTGAAGCCCTGCTGTGTTTTTCCTGCTCGCTGGGGAAGACATCCCAAATCCTAGCTGCAGACTCTAAGTGGCTTGCCATGATCTGGCCCTTGCCAACCTCTCCATCCTCGTTGTCCCTCACTCTGCCACTGTCACTCTGCCCCAAGCATGCTGGTTTCTTTCTGCCACATGTCTTGCTCTGTCTTGTCCCAGGGCCTTTGCACTTGCTATTCTCTATCTAAAACACTTCTCTCCTGGATCTTCAAGTGGCTGGATCCATCCCACCCTTCGCGTCTTGGTCAAATTTCCCCTCGTCAGAGAGGCTCTCCCTGCCCACCAGACCTGAAACTCTCTCCAGCCACACTACCTCTCGTCCCTGCTTATTTCATTCACTGCACCTTTCATTACTGAAACTTCTCTTATTCGTTCACTTGCTTGTATCTGTCTCTCCTCAAGAGAGAGGGTAAGGTCCTTGAGGCTGGGACTTTTCCTGTCTTGTCCATCACAGTATCCCCAGCATGCAGAACAACTTTAGGTGCATAGTAGGTGCTCAGCAGTCATTGAATAAATAAATGAAACCTCATGGGCCTTCGAGATCCAGTGTGTGCCCTTTGGCCAAGTCACGACCAGATGGGAATCTTTTATCTAGTAGTCAGAGGTGTGTGTGTGTGTGTGTGTGTGTGTGTGTGTGTGTGTGTGCGTGAATGCCTAAGGCACAGCTTCCTCTTCCTAGATAACCCCACCCCAGTTCCACTCTCTTCGGAGGGTTGGGGGTGAGAAAGGGAAGCAGCGGACTCCTGGTTTGATGAGCTTGGGCCAGTTAGCTTCAGTATTCTCATTTATAAAAAGGTCATTGAAAATAATAGTGTCAGAAACAAGTAACAGTCTATTTCATGGGGTCATTGTGAGGACTGTCATTGTTGTTGTTGACAGATGGAGTGGTGCATGTGCCTGGCACATAGAGAGTGCTCTAGAAACGCCTGTTATTATTACGAGGATGTTCCCTTAGCTTCACATGTGGGGAAAAAGCCCTCTGAAGTTGGACCCAGTGCTGGCTACAGTCTGTTTGTTTGCCTTTCTCCCTCTCTGAGATCCATAATTCCTGCAGGAAGCTGTCCTCCCACATCTCTCTAGAGACTTGCTTTCTCAAGACATGTTGACACCCGCTCTGTGGCTTAGTCGCACCTCTCCATGGACCCTCATGAAATGTGCCAGAGTTGCTCGTGCCTCTGGTTCATGGTTCCTGCCGCCTGGATCACCTTTACGCTCACATTCCCTATTCTCCATCTACGAAAATCCTTCAAGATCCATCAAGCCCCAGCACCCCCAGAGACTCCCTTGAGAGTCCCCATCCACATCCACGTCCAGGTCTGTCACTTTAGCTGTCCTCAGCATGCCCCTCGCTTCCCTCCCCGGGCTGTTCCCACCCAGTTCTGCAGGGGTCCGCCTGGGCTACAGCTGGTCCCCTCAGGGGACGAGGGCTACTTGGGTGCAGGGCTCCGACCCATTCAACCTTGCTCTCCTCCCAGAAGGGCCTGGCCCCACGTGATGTCACTCACCCAGGCGCCCGTCTCCCTGGAAACCTGAGGTGAGACCCCTCCCCCCCTGCCTCGGCCCCCTCCTTTTTCTCGAACTTCTCGGTTTCCGTCGACCTCTTGGTCTGCTGTTCCTCTCTTTTCCATCTCTCCTTTCTTCCATCTCGATTCTCCAAACCTCCTCTTCCTTTCTCTCACATCTCTCTCCCTTCCTGTTTCATCCTCCAATCCTTTCCAACGCACGGAGTGTAATCCTCTCCCGACACTCAGTTCTACTTCTAAAGGCTTGCTCAGTCCCCCGGCCTGTGGAGCCGAACCTGGTCTTCCGATTTGCTCGCGGGGAAGGTGAGGCACGAAGAATGTAACTGACGGCTTCAGGCTATTCTTTCTCATTCCGTTGAATAGAGTTCCACAAAGGAGACACAACAAGAAGGCCTACGTCCCTGCCTGTGGCTAACCCGGGTGGCCTGCCACACCTCGAACTGTCGCCCCTGGCCTCTGTCCTGGTCTCTAAGTTCTCTCCCTGGGTGCTCTCGTTCAGTCTCAGGGCTTTGAGTACCCCTCGAGCACTGATGACTCTCCAGTTCTCATTCCAGCCCCGGCGTCTCTCCTGAGCTCTAGACTCCAATGTGTTTGTGTCCGCTTGACTTCCCCCTTGGCTGTCTGACATGCATCTCGAACTCAATCTGGCTCGTGCCAAGCTCTTGCTGTGTCTTCATAGTCTGTTCTTCCCCATCTGCACAAGCCCAGTAGACGACACCATCCTCTATGGCTGCCCAGGCCAAGCATCTCAGGTTCGGCCTCTTTCCTTCACACCCCGCGTCTAATCCAGCGAGCAGATCCTGCCGATTCGCCTCCAAACGCTCCCGGCATCTGACGCGTCTCTCTATTTCTACTGCATCGCCCTGATGTCAGCTACTGTGACTTCTCCCCAGTCCTACTGAAACAGCCCACTAATGGCTCTCCTTCTTTCCTCCCTTGCTCCCCAACTTCTCTGCACAGTGGCCAGACTGATCTTTCTAAAGCAAAATTAGCACATATTACTCTCTGCTCCAAAGGCAATTAAAGTGGAAAGCCAGCTCCTTATCCCGTCCCCCCAGCTCCGAGGGTCTGGCCCTGTCTGAGGCCCAACCTCGTCTCCCTTCCTTCCTATCTCCTCTGCTCCTACCACACTGGCCAAATGCCACCTCCTTAGAGAGGTCTTGCTTGGCCACCTAGAGCAGCCATCCTTCTCTCCCCCTCGCCATTGTCACTGTTTAGTTTGTCATCTTGTTTTAGATGCTTCATAGCACTTGTCACTACCTGAATGTATCTTTACTTCTGAATGTTTTATGGTCTGTCTCCCTCCCTGAACGCGGGGAGTTTGTCTATTCATTGCAGATCTTCAGCCCCGAGCGCGCAGTAAACACGTCCTCACTACCCGCTGCTGCCTCACTGGCTGGACTTATGTGACCTCCGGGGCAGTGAAAGGAGCCCATCCCAGGAAATGGGAAGCCAGGGCCTTGGTCCAGACTTGCTGCCTGTATGCTTTCGGATCTCAGGCAAGGTGCTTCTCTCTAAGCCTATGTCTTCAGCTCTCAAATGGCGATAAGAGATATTCGCATTGACTATTTCATGAGTATTTTTCATTCATTCACTCATCAAACAAACAGGTATTGAGTTCCTAACATATGTCTGGCCTTTGGCTAGGATCTGGGGATATAGGTCTGAGCAAGCGAACCCCACATTGCATAGTTCCAGGGGCATCCTGTTCTGTGGGATCGGTGAGAATGAGCGTGCCCCCCGCCCCCAAGACAGGCTTGTTCCCTATTCTCCCGGAACTCACATTCTAATTGGGGAGAAAGTTGATGCAAAAGTAAACAAGGTAATTAATTTCAGGTCTAGACAAATGCTAGGAGAGAAAAATGGTGATGTATCAGTGAGTAGAGGTGTGTGAGGAATAAATTCAGTAATAAAGGAGGAAGATGTTTGCTAACTGCAAATTCCAATGGCTACCATGTTCACCTTCCCCCTTTGGCAGAGGGAGAAGCCAGAGGCTCTGAGATGGAGGAGACAGTGGTACTGTCGGCTGGAACCTGGTCTCTGCCTCCACCACCAGGCTCCTCCCTGCACAACATAAGCATGCTTGTGTGGGTGGAGGGGGCTGTCACCACTGGCTGATCTTAAAGTCCCTTGCAAATGCCAAGTACTTATGTAAGCCCACTCAAAGGAGGGATAACAACCTCCCAGGTTGCCCGAGGGCCACCTTCCCTACCCAGCAAATTGGCCCCAGGGCTGGGGTTACAGGCCTTTCTCTGCTCTGATGTCCAGTGACATTTAGAGACATGGACAGGCCAAGTTGTTTCTCTCCTTTCCCTCCGCTGCTCACCGACCGCATCCCAGAGCAGCCACTGGTTGCCAAGCAACCCGGGACCAGGGTTGGGTGCAGGATTTCAGAACTGGAGGCTGGGGAGGCGATTAACCCTTGCAGGGCAGCTCTTTGGACTGCAGCGTAACTGGGGGTGGGGGAGAGCTTTTATTCTGTAAGGCCTTTGTGACATTAGCTGGAGGGGATGCAAGTGCAGAGGAGATGCTTCAAAGACGTCTCTCAGTAGTAGTAAAGAAAATCCCAGGGCTTTTTCACAAGGTAAAGGGGAAAAGAAAACTTAGATGAAAAAAGCAATCTCGACTTCTAAAAGGAAGCGCATTACCTAAGCACCTGCTATGGGCCAGAGCCTTTCTTTAGGTGGGTTACTTTAGTTGACCCTCACAGAGACCTTATGAAGTGACTATTATTATCTCCATTTTATAGATGGGGAACCTGAGGCCCAGGTGGTTGTGCGATTATCTAGCTTGAAGGGAGTGAAGCTGGGATTTGGACCCAGCTCTTCCCGACTGCACAGCATTGTTCTCTCTGGGCCTCTTAGCGGGGTACATATTGCTAAAACAGAAAGATCTGGGGCATCACAGAGGAGCAGACTCCCTTTGCCGTTCTTTGCCCTCTGGGCCAAGGCTGAGCAACCTGACAAACGTGCTGCAGACAGTAAGACTCGCATTTGTGTGAGCCCCTCAATTTCCATCACATTCCAGCAACTCCCCTTCCACGGGGGGAGGGTGGTGTGAGGCAGGAGCACTGGCTCTGGAGTCGGACGACCTGGGTCCAAATCCCAGCTCTTTTTTCTCGGGCTGTGACCTTGGCCATCTCATTTAACCTCTCTGAGCCTCAGGATCCTGCTTGATAATGAGGAGAATAATGCTGACTTTAAAAGTTTATCATGGGGGTTCCAGGTGCCGTCACAGATGCTTGTAACCTGCAGTTATTGTTACTGCACCTGCTTTATAGATGAAGAGACTTTGGCCCAGGAACTTCAGGCCAGGCAGTGTGTTCCAGAGCACTGGGAAGACTTAAGACACCGGCCTTTTACTCTTGCTTGTTACTTGACTCAATTCCTTCTCCTCTCTGGGCCTCAGTCTCCCCATCGCTACAATGAAGGGCTGGTCTCGATGGTTTCTAAGGGCGCTTTTGGTTCTGGAGAAGGCCAAGAGAGCAAGGCCTGGAGCTGCCTTGCTCAGTGCCCTTGGTTAAGTGTTGGCCCTGGGTGGGCACCCTCGATGGCATTCTGCAGTGTCCTCTTTTGTGGGCGCTCAGATTATTACTGGGCAAGTACACGGTGAGCCTGTGTCTGCCTCGAGGCCTCAGTACATATCAGCAGCAGACCCAGGATTAGAATCCAGATCACCCCGCTCCCAACCCTGCTCCTGGGAGGTGAAGGTGAAGATGACAGGGGTCAGCCTGGTGCTTACTGGCTGGGTCAGCCAAGGAGGATGCTAATGTCCTGGTGGTGATGGGGAAGTGTCCCCCATGCTAATGCTCTGAGCAGACCATTAATGCTAATGTCCTGGTGGTGATGGGGAAGTGTCCCCATGCTAATGCTCTGAGCAGGTCTCTGGACTCTGGGAGTCCTGGTCAAGTTCCAGGAGCAGCTGAGCACCACTGCTCGGCGAGGGGCAGCATCGGTGGAAAGAGCAGCCCAGGCCATGAGTTTTCTAGTCCAGCCGCCAGCCCCTGCCTGCAACCACCTAGCCTGTGCCAAGTGGAGGACGTTTCCGCATGCCACCTCCTGGGACTCCAGCCTCTGCCCCAGGTCACTCACTCTCCTCCATCTCCTCCATCTCCTGGGGTCCTTGGCTGTGGCTCTGATCCCCGCATGGGAGGTGAGGAGGGTTGATTAAGGAGCAGAGTGCCCAGGCCAAGCCGGCCCACAGGAGCCGAGGGCAGAGAGAGACTCAGCATGGGCCTGAGACTACAGCGCGGGAAGGTCCTTTGCACCTACTGAAGTTCCAGTTCCCTCCTGAGAGCTCCTTTCCACTTGTTCCTTGGCCCCTGTGCTTTATGGGGATATCCGAGGAGAGAGCTCCTCGAGTGTATTTTTCCCTAAAAGTGATGCCTTTTCCACCACGTTACAGTCATCCTCGACATGACAGATGCTAAAGGTCAAGATGAAAGGTGAGAAGAAAGCAGGACCGTGACCAGGTCGAGAAAGAGGCGGGGGGCGCATTTGTTGCATGTCCCCTCTGTCACCACCCCACAGCCAGGTCTGCACCGACCCCCTCTCACCCTCCTGGGTGTGGGGCTTAGAGGGATGGGAGGAGGTGGTCAAAACTAGGCCTCTGATCTCCAGGGAGCATCATATGCCACAGTAAACAATACTTTGGGGGTGGCCTCCTCTGGTTCCCCCTCCTCTGTCCCCAGACTAGGCCCCGATCCCTTCCCATCTCCTGGATGTGGCCTTGGGACCTCACGGTAGAGACAATTTGCTTTAAGCCAGAGCGTGGTTATGGCCGGGCAGCCTCAACACAAGGAGAAAAGGGGGTTCCCTCACCATTGACAGTGTGCCTGGGGACAGGGCACCACGGAGGCTGAGAAGCAGACCTAGCTAAAGCTGCCTCTCCCGTGGCAGAGGTCTGAGGCATTTCAGGTCTCTCCACTGGGACCAGCGAGACCGCATAGTCCTAAGTCTTGGTTCACCTTGGTGTGTCCTGAGCCCGACCACTGGGTCAGGAGCCCCAGGGAGCCCTGGGAGCTGAGCGCTGAGCCTCCCTCCCCAGGGGAAGGTGAGGGCGAGGGAGGCAGTGGGTCCCTGACCGGGAGAGGAGACGTGAACTCTAAGACACACGCGCGGCTGTGAACGAACAAACACAGGCGGGGAAGAAAGGGGTTTCTGCAGCTCCCCAAGCCAGGCAGGAGGCGAGCTGCACACGCTCGGGGGCATCTGAACCACTGGCTCCACTGGCATGAGTGGCATCCACAAGGAGCCTGTGGGCAAGTGCCTTCAGAGGTGCTGCTCTTTACACCCAACTTGCCCTACACATGCCCACAGCCCAGCAGCCCCGGACATCCCCCAGGGTGTCGGGAGCCACTCCCCACTTACTGAACACTCAGTACTTGCCCACTCTTGTCCTTTGCCCTCTTCTGTGAATAGCCTCGATGACATGTGAGTCCCCTCCTATTTACCTTTGCGTCCCCTGAGGCACCCATCACAGTGCTTGGCATGCAATCGCCCTTAACAAATATTTGTTCAACCGAAAGACAGCTGAGTTGCTTTGTAAACACGCGACAGACATAAGGAGGAATGTTCCCAGCAGCAACGGTTGCCAAGCGAAGCTGCAAAGTTCAACTAAGTTCAAGTCAACGACTTTTTATTGAGCACGTACTATGTACTCTGGCTCCATGTGCCCAGAGTGTGCTGGGTACAGCTGCGGGCAGGAGCAACCGGGGAGAGACAAAGCCAGGACTCTGCTTCTCAGAACTGCCACCTTCCATCTCAAAGCACTTGGGAAAATCTCATTTCCTCAATGTTCTCTGGGCCCACGAGGAGGCAGACTTTAAGGGAAGGCCCAGGTTCAAAGACGTTTCCCCAGAGAGAGGCTACTCACAGGCCACGGTGCCGTTGACGCTGTGGAACTGGTAGCTGTTCAACACGGGCTGACAGCCGAGCTGCTTCAGCTTCTCATAGCAGCAGTCATGAGCCAGGCAGCACCTGGGGGCCAGACAAGAGGAGATGAGGGGCTGTGCCTGGAGGTGGGCCCTGGGGAGTCAGCTGGAAAGGATCATCTGCCTCCTCCTCTGGGCAAGAAGGGCCTGAAGGTGGGGATGTAAATTCTTGATGATATTGAAGATAACATAAATAACCACTCGCATTTAGTGAGCCCTGTCTAGGACCCATCTCATCAGCTCTCACGGTAACCCTATGAAGTGCAGTCGCCATCACCAGGTCACAGGGGAGGAAATGAGATTCGGAGCTGCGAAGTTCCCAAAAGCAGACAGCTAGAAGATGACAGACCCAGGACTTACTCAGCTTTAGGTCTGTGTACTCATTCATTGACTTAATGGCTTTTTACTGAGCACCTACTAGGTGCCAAGCACTGTGATAGTCTCTGAAGAGACAATTGTCAGCAAAAGCAGACATAATCCTTTAGTTCTTGCTCTCATGGTGCTCAGTCGGCTGGGGGCAGGAAGGGAAAATATTTCAGGGGAGGAAACAGCTGAGGAACAGTCTCTGCTCACTTCCTCAGCCAGTGGGGGAGAGGCAGGAACGCACAAACCTGGGACCGAATTCTAAGACAGAAAAGAGAAAACGCTTCTGGCCGATGCCCTGAGCCGGACACTTCAGTCTTCCCCTCTCCCCACCCCAGTGTGCAACCAGGGTCTCTGCCGTCTGTCATGTTTCATGAATAGTGTTCGATTTCTCGTCCGCCTTTGAACTTGGACAGGGGAGGCACAGAGCATCTCCGTGCCCGAAAGCAGGCACATTTTTGTTCAAATCCTGACGGTGCCACCTAGTTGCTCGTGTCTTTGGGCTTTGCCACGGGTTTCGTGGGTCCTCACTGTTGTCACCTGTACAACACTGGCACAGGACGTCTTGGCCACTTGCCGCGAGGATTAAATTAGGTCCCAGATGCAGATCGCCAATCCCATTGCTCTGTGCTCAGTGAGCATTTCATCAGTGTCTGTTTCCCTCTAGGACTCTGGGTCCTTCCAGCTGGAACATTCCATGTCTCATGAGCCCAACCCAGAGGAATCGAGCTCCAGGGGTGGTACTTCAGACCCCACCAAGGGGACATATTTATCCAGGTTAGGTCGAAAGTGGCAAGGAACGTTTTGTTTATTTCTTCCAATGAAATGGCACACACACTGCGCTGCTTCCTCCCTCTCATACGCTGGCCAGATTACACCGACCTCCACTTTTCCCGAGAACTCACACTCCCCACCCCCATCCTCGGAGCAGGCCTGGCAGCCAGGTTTGTGCCATGTGACCTCATCCAGATGGACAAGTTTTCCAAACTGGGCCACCGAGATGCTCTCTCCCGGCATATGGAGTTAGGCCTGGGAGACTGCAGGCTGATCTTGCTGCACCTATAATCCCCAAACACCGGGCAACTGAGAGAAGGCCACGTTTGCTATGAGGACTGAGCATTGAAAATGTTTCTAGAGCTCCGAGCAGGACTGACTACATGATTTGCAAGGCCCGGTGCAAAATGAAAACAGAAGAATTTCAAGATGGTGACAGCAGAGCGCGTACTGGGCCTTAGAGATGCACGAGCCACATGTTCAGGAGTCCGGTCCTGGCCTTGGGTTCCTTGAAACCTCCCTCCAATTCCCATACAAGTTTTATTGTTTGTTTTGTTTTTTTTTTTAATGTTCAACCGATTTGGGTTCAATTGATTTGGTTTCTATTACTTTGCAATGCACGGGTCCCAATATCCTCTCTCTCTTCAAGCATGAATCTCAAGGCAAATAAAATGACAGGCGACCTCAGCGCCTCTGCACTCACCTGTCAGTATCATCCACAGGAGTCCCTTTGCCCCCCAGCCCGCAGTAGCAGCCATATCCGTAATATGAGAAGAAGGCGCTCCGCCCTGTGATGTGTTTGACCATCCTTTGAAACTGCCAGAAGCTGCTGTGAGTGGGGGCCATCACTACCAATGAGAAAATAAGGGAGGAGACAAAAATGCAATGGGCACAATGCCACCTTGGCACTCTCTAACTAGAGCGCTTTGCATCCGTCCCATCAGGAGACCCTTGAGCGTGGGGCGTCTGTACGCTGGGATCATGGGCCCCTTTAACGGGGAAGAGGGTAAGATCAGATCTACCGCATCACGCAGTTAGTTTCTTGCTGGCCCGGGATGAGAACTCAGTTTCCCTGCTATTCAGAACAGTGCCATCCACTACAGCCTTCCCCCCAAATTAAAAACAAACAAACAAACAAACTGCCATCCCAGGCAGAAACGCCCTCAGGTCTGATATTAAACATTAATGGGAAAAGTTCAAAGACAGAAATGCCAGTCTCTACAAATATCACAGGGCATTTACAATTTCACAAAAGAAACAAAATACTTAAGAGGCAGAAAAACATGCTCCCAATCTGTTTTTTTAATGGCAAATATACATGGACTCAGTAACTTTTACTCCTAAAAAAAAATGTGGGTGGAGAGGGGCGCAGAGAATATATATGTATAGGGATGTTCACTGCAGCATTATTTGTGATACCAAAAAACTGGAAACTACGCATATAGATCCACTGACAGGGAAATGATAACTAAATGATGTCTTGAAAACTTCTTACTTTTAATAGCAATCTATCCAGGCAGTGGGATTGAGGAAGTAGGTGGAGAGAAACACAGGCAACATTTGTTTTATATACTTTTATGCTATCTGATTTTTTTTTTTTTTTACAATGAAGATGTATTTCTTTTCTATTAAAATGTTTTAAATGTATGTGTAAAGGCCTGGAGGATGTATTCTTAAGTCTTAAAAGTGGTTACATCTTGGGTATAGGAAAAAGATTGGGGCCAAGGAGAATGAGAAGGGGCTTTATCTTGTTATTTTATGCTCGTTTTCTTTTTTAATTACAAGCATATGTTAATTTTGCAATAAAAATTAAAAAAAAAACATAAACTTGAAGAAGAAAAATGGAGACAGAGGGTTTTGGGAAATTTTCCCAGGAACCTTCCCATCTCATACTGTGGTTTTAGATGTCTTGTCACAAAGCACCAAAGAGGGGCCAAAGCCTGGGTGTGGTCACTGCTGCCCAAGCAGCCCCTGGGGAGAGGGTGGGACCACACTTGGGTGTTGGTCTTCGGGGTACATCACGGGGGCAGAAATGGTCCTTCCTGCTTATGGGTCCCCCACACCACGATCTTGAAAACTGTAAATTCTACCACAGACTAAGACAACATGGGAACCACATTTTTGACATTTGACTTAGGGACCCAAAAGTTAGTGCTCCACAGCTGAAACAGGTTAAAAAATGAATTTGGACAAATATCTATGCAACTAATCAAACCAAAGAGTCAAAGAGTTTTCCGACATAACTGACACTGTTTCCTAGTACATTCTTTTCACTTTGCAGAGGTATGCAATCCGATCTCCTGGTAGCCACGACTTACAATTACCAATTATTCACCAATAAGTCACCTTTTTGACTGGAAATAAAATTGTTCCTAAGTTAGCTAGATATATGTCTGTGTTTTTGTTCTGGACTCCATGTGACTTTAAATAAAAGCAGTTGGCATCCACGTGAAAGACTCCTGAAGGGGATGTACGTGCTAAAAATGAGTCCAATGTCCACTTTCTTAGCAAATGGTTTCAACCTTTGGTTTCCCTAGAAATTTTGTGAGATCCCAACACTGGGAACAGACCATTTTGCAGAAGAAACAGAAGCAGGAGGACTTTGGTGGGATCCCGCTCCACTCTAGATTCGCTTTGGAGTGACATCCGACTTCCCCTCTCTCTATGCCCCTCAGGCGGGTCCACCCCAAAGATACAGACACACAGACAGGAGGACGGCACCTTAGAGCTCCTCTAGCTGCTCACTACTCACAGCAGGAGGCGAAGACCGCGAGAACGCCAATGACCTTCATTCCCAAAGAGACCAGAGGGTCGTGGTGTCACGAACACAGTTTCCTCTGCTCTCAAAGGGTCTGCCAGTTGAACTCCTGTTCGGGGAGGAAATGACCAAAATGAGGAGGAGAGTCCACGTGGGTACAAAACCCCAGGCCTTCAAAAGCCCTCAGTGAAAGGCTCAGCGCAAAGCGATCATTTTTCAGACCTCATTATCTCTGAATATGATACTCTTTCTGGTATTTAGAGCTAAATATAAAGATAAAAAGGCTTCAGTTGTTTGAAAAGCGTACGTGTTTTTCTTTTTTTTAAAATTTCTTCTTTGAGGACACTATCCCTTCATCTTCTTCTTTTGAGGAGTCAGGATTTCCTCTCTTCCCAAATTTTAAAGGTATAAATGTGGTTCGGAATGGAAATTCAGTGCAGGAAAATCAATCCCAATTTGCACGGTAGCTCCGCCCACCATGTTCTCCTTCCTGGAGGCCCAGGTATCTCATTCATAAACTTGGCCTTTCCATTTCCTCTCCTTAAAGTGAGACTAAAAATACCTATCAGTCATTTCTCATATTCGTTAAGAAGTTACTAAATGCCTATTCACAGTGGCCATGACATGGAAGCAACCAAAGTGTCCCATGATAGATGACTGGCTAAAGAAGCTGTGGCAATACATACAATGGAATATTACTCTGCCTTAAGAATAGATGAAATACTGCCATTTGTGACAACATGGATGGACCTCAAGATGATCATGCTAAGCGAAATAAGCCAGACAGAAAAAGTTGAAAATCACATGATATCACTTATATAAACCTAAAAGCAACAAATGAACAGGACAAACAAACAGAGACTCATGGACATGGACTATAGACTAGTGGTTACTAGTGGGGTGGCGGGGGGGAGGTACACGGTGTAAAGGGGGTCAAATATAAAGTTTGCGGGGAGAGTGAAGTGGGTAAAGGGGATCAAATATATAGTAGCTGAAGGAAACTGGACTTTGGGTGGTAAACACACAATAGGATATACAGATGTCAAATAATGATGTACACCTGAAAATTATATAATTGTATTAACCAATGTTATCCCAATAAACTTAATTTTAAAAAAAGAAAGAAAGAAAGTAATAAATGCCGGAAGCTGCGTTCTCTAAAGGTTTCATGGATATTCCATTATTTAATCCTCAGAAAAACCTGAGAGGCTCTATTATCATTTTAGAGATGGAGAAACTGAGGTCCATAGAGTTTGAACAACTTTCTTGTTCTCACATAGCTCCCTACTACACAGGCTTGTGGGGACCCACTGAAATAATGGATGTAAAAGGGCTTTGTCCTCTAAAACGCTGTAACAGGTAAACACGCCCTTCCTGTTCCCATTAGCAATGGTAATGGCACACTTCCCACAGGACTACGGAGGAGGATGTGGGCTCAGTGTCCCACAGTCATCATGGTGAGCAGTCACCAACGCTCTTTAAATTACAAGTGGTCTTTATACGCCCATAAAAACTCAGGCTAAATCTGATAACGTCAGGACCTGGAGTATGAACAATAGCTCGGTTGAGCCTAGAAGATTTGGCAGGTAAGGGCTTTGGCTAGAGTTACACTCCGTGGCAAAGTTTCCCAGGAAAACTTCTAAATGGGGGTCCTGATACAGACGGCTGGGAGAATCAGTCAGGCGCCTTTGCGATTTTTGCCCTCTTTGGCAAAATTCTGGTGGATGCTGCGAGGCTGGGCCCTGACCAGGCCTGGTCCCAGCCAGCCTTCATTTCAAATGCTGCGCAGTTGTTTCTAAATTAGGTTCCATCTCTACAAGCTGGCTTCCTTTCTCGCTTTGAGTCTGAAAAAAATAATTGTGTGATGGTTTAGTCCACGAGGAAGAGACTCATATCTTTCAAATGAGCTGGTGACGGCACTTGGGAGAGACAAAGGGGCCTGGTTGCGTTACCGGTAATGAAATGGCACGGATTCTTACGAAGCATCAACTATGTGCAATTCTAGTGAGACAAGATTCTGGCCCAAAGAAGGCTTCCGAGTCGGCTGGAGTGGCCACACGAGTAAATACAGAGCAAATATAGACCAAAAGCCCCAAGCGGGCAGAAACTCTACATGGGGGCCTCCATTGTTTCTGGAATGCATAGCACAATCTTCAGCAGGTCCCCTCTTCAGAATTTGGAACCTGCTCCTGATCCTCTCACTCACTGAGAAATGCCTCCGCTGCAGGGAACTGTCTGGTCCAAGGTTATGGCCCCTCCTGGTGATGGGGGTAGGAGTAGCCCCTAGCCAATGACTAGCTGAGGCGATGATTTAAAGGGCCATCTCTTGTCTCCTTCAGGACAGTTCTGAAAAGCCATGTCAGCCCCAGAACTCCCTGGATGACCAGCTGAGGACTTAGAAACTCTCTATATGTCAACTTCTCCCTCTGAGGGTCAGCTTCTCCCTCTATGGTCAGTGTCTCCCTCTGAGGGTCAGCTTCTCCCTCTCCCCAATCTTGCCTTACTCACTTTCTGACAGATGTCTCCTGAAAGCCTTCCTGCATGCACCTCTCCATCTCAGAGTCTGTGTCCACGGAGGGGAACCTAAGCCCAGGTAGAGTGAAGAGCATTGCTCTAAATGCCTTTGAGTTTAGAGGAAGAAGCAATGAACTCACTTCCAGTCATCTGTGAGTCACTGAGCTAAGAGCTGTACCTACCCAAAACACAGCTAAGAAAACAAAGCAAAAATGACCTGAGCATCCAAGCAGATGTCACAAGGCTATTATTTTGGACATAGTTCTAGCAAGGTATCCTTTTCTCAGACCCAGAGCTGAACAGGAATTAAGCTCGAATGGCTGCTCTTAGTAGGAAGGCAAACAAGGGGGAGAAATAATTAAATCTAAGCCTGACCAAGCCTGTGAACCTGGGGCCATTGAGTGTAGTGGCAGATGGCGCTAGCTACATCCACGGTATTGTACCTGGAGCACAATTATTGACTTTGTGTTGCCAAGAAAAAGTTGCATTTTGCAAGAGACTGCACAGGTGAAGAGCAAATAACTCTGGATTCTTTCTCAGAGAAGAGGGTGGGAGCGGGGATCCGCCACTTCCT